TCCTTCCGAGGAGTGGCTGGTGGGTTTGAACCGCCAGCCTTCTGGTTAGCAGTCAAGTGCCTTAGGCACTATGCTACCAGAGCTCCTATATATGGACTAATAAAATATTTGTCCTTCTGTGATTTATTTATTTCATTTAGCATAATGTCCTCCAAGTTCATCTACTTGGAAAATCCACTTTTATAAAATTTTCTTTTATACTTGTTAGTTAACTTGAGGCTCGGTCTTTCAAATATAAATACCAGATATATCTGTAATTATCCTTTTTTTTCCCCCTTCCTTTTCCCTCTAAAACTTGATTTGGTGAAATAAGCAGAGTAGTCCCTTGACTATCTAGAGGTTAACTTTAGGTATAGCCAAACCAGAAGATGCTAGCCATGTTATTTACTTTAACCAAGCTTTAATTCCCCACCAAATGCTTTGAAATTGTATTTTTAGTAGCTGGGTGTTAACAAGGTATAATGAACCAGAATAGTTCTGAGAGGAGGTTTGAGAACTATGTATGAGGGCCCCAAATCACATGCAAAGCTCCTCCTTCCTCAGGGATTTTAGCTTTTGGACCAGATGAACCCTGGTCTGGATGATAGCCAAAGGAAACTTGAGGATCCCCATGATGTTGGGCCATTAATGTGTGGGCGCAGCCAAGTGCTAATTGAGCCTTAGCTGTGGATCAATAGATAGGAGGAGTCATTATTGTCATTGTGATTATCCTCCTTATCATCGATACCATTAGATATCATTATCGTCACCAGTGTGAACACTGTGATGACAACTTATGATACCTCTTCCAGAGAGAAAAATCTGGAAATGTTGGAGGTTTACTCACAGATTCCTATTAGAGTTCTCTAACCTGAGTTCACATCATTGCAAGGTGATGGGAGTCAAAGGGAAGATACAGGGACATTCCTGGAATTTTTGATAACTGTGTGTGATTATTTCCTTTTGCACCCAGAGCTCTCAGTCCCCTGCCACTCTGAGAGACAGTCAAGCCTGTTTCCACAGCCTCTCTCTGCGACTACTCCTCTGAGGTGTTGCCTTCAGGTCACTTGCCTCTCGTCACGGGAAAAAGATATAAAGAAATATGACTTCAGTAGATATGCATTTCAAGAATTTTTCTTTTTCAGTTTCTCTTTCTGTAGAATGCATATGATGGAGAAGTAGATACGACAGCTAGCCACTTTCCGTGGCCCTCGGTATATTTTGAGGCTTTCAGCCATGTCTAGAGAGGATTCTCCACCAAGTGTGAAGGCTTGCCTCTGTGTCTTATGCAGTTGCTCCACTTTTTGCAGTAGGTCACCCCACTTTTGTAGAATTATGAGGTTGTTAGGTGATTTCTTTAAAAAATATCATAAATACTTGTTTTTCTAGATAAGAATTTAGTTCCAGCTTTCTGTGATATGAGATGGTCTTTGCCCTTTCAGTAGTGATAAAAAAAATACTAATTAAAAAAAAATCCAACATTTTATTGTGCTTCAGTTCAAATTTTACCAAGTAGATTTGTTTTATATTCAATAATTCATACTCATTTTGTTTTCTGACACTGGGTATATTCCATGTAATGTGACAGCTCTCCTCCCACTTCCTCCCTGTGGTTACCCTTGCCCTGTGTCCTCCTTTCCTGTGTGTTCCTCCCTCCTTCCCTTTCTCCTTGTGCAGATGCTGCCCTTCTGATCGCCCAAGGTTTATGGTTCCAAGGACTGCATCTCCCTGGTGTAGGGGTTCAGCTCGTAGGCCTTCTGTTGTTTGGCTGAGAGTTAAGCCATGGGAGTGAGTTCAGTTCCAGGCCTGAAGGGTGACTCAGGGCCATAGTCTCAGGGGTTTCACCGCTTTCTATCAGACCAGTAAGCCTGGTCTTTTTAAGATTTTGAGTTATGTTCCAAATTCTTCTCACACTCTATCTAGAATCTCCAATTTTTATCCCTTTCCAAGTGGTTGACATTGGTAGGCAGGCACCATCCAGCTCTTCTGGTCTCATGGCAAAGGAAACATGTGTTCATGGAGGCAATTAGCCACACTTTCCATATCCTTCTCCTATTCCTGACTCCCCTTCTTTTCCCGTTCCTCCAGGCATATAGAGACCAATTTTGTTTCTTGGATGGGTGCTTGCAAGCTTTTAAGACTCCAGGTGCTACACAACAAACCAGGAGGTGGAACAGAAGCACTCAGCACGTTATTAGGCCAGTTAACTGGGTTGTCCTATGAAACCATGACTATAAACCTCCAAACCAAGAAACCAAATCCCCGTGAGGCTTTTGTTCGTACTAAGCAGCTACTCTTTCTTTTCTGTTATGCCATTGTAAATATGTCTTAGTTATCCAGTGCTGCTATAACAGATTTTTTTTCTCTCACACTTTAGGAGGCTAGAAGTCCAAATTCAGGGCCCCAGCTCTTGGAGAAGGCTTTCTCTCTCTGTGGGCTCTGGGGGAAGACCCCTGTCTCCTTTCACATTCTGTGGGCCCAGCATCCCTTGGAGATCTCCCTGGGTCTTTGTGCCCATCTCCCCCTGGGTCTAGGAGCACAGGGATCCTGGGTCCAAAGGATGCATTCTGCTTCAGGCACTTCTTTCTTGGTGGTACTAAGGTCCCTCCTCCCCTGGCTTCTCTCTCCTTTTATCTCTTGTAAGGTAAAAGTGGATGCAGGCCACGCCCCAGGGAAACTCCCCCTACATTGGATCAGGGCTGGGACCTGAGTAAGGCTACTACATCCTGCCCTAATCCTCTTAAAACCAACTGACTGATCACATCATGGGGGATTATTATATCATTCATAACTGCCACATTACATCATTATGTAACTGCCAAGCCACTGAGAATCAAGTCAAGTTGACATATTTTGGAGGGATACAATTCAGTCCATAACAGTATCACACAACTTTGGCTGTACAACCTTACCCTTAATCAGTGTGATTTTTCCATCACCATTAACCTCCTTTTCCTCCTCCCTCCCACCTCTGGCCACCACTAATAAATTTTCTTCTCTATTCTTTTGCCTTTTCTTGACTTTTTCTGTATAAGTGAGGTCATAAAATATTTGTCTTTTTGTTATTGGTTTATTATGTTCTTGTTGTTGTTGTTGTTGTTAAGTGCCGTCGAGTCGTTTCCGACTCAT